ACCTCTTTGCATGCCCAACCAACCCCACCCATCTAACACCCCTTTCCCTTTGGTCCGACCCCGTCGAAACAGCACGTTTCCTGGGCCTCCCGTTAGATGACATCGWCGACAACACTGATAACCCTCACCATCCCAACGGGGACTGATAATCGTTACAACAACAACAACAACATACCAGGACACGTTTCGGAACTTCAGAGTGGAGAGCTATCCCCCCTTTAATGGCGTCTTGCGTGGACTTCCTCAATTTATTATCAAACAATCGGATACGCTGTCAAGGATAAGCGGATGACATTTGTGATATCGAGGAAGGTATTTGGCCAGGATAAGCGTTGATACAATGGGGTTGGACAGAATATCAAACCCTCGCGTTCGGTCTGGTAGCCAATCATTTTCATCTTTAATGACGTGGACACAGCATGAACAAGAACTCGCCAATCTTTTCTTCATTTAGCAATATGGCAATCTTGTCATATATCTCGTATATATCATCATTCAACCGAATACAATATTCCGTGGACAATGCACAAAGGACCATAAATCTTCGGCAGAACCTTTCTCTGGCAAACTTGTAGTAGCGACTCATCAGATGTTGTCGCTGTACATGCCTCTACAATACATTAGGCCCATGGTGAATATCTGGTCATTGTTGATTTTAGAGAATTTCCCAACGAATTATGTTTCCGACAATATCCTAATGTATTATTAACTTCAAACATAAAATGCGAAGTTTCGAACATCTAAATTTTGAATATTTGAAGAAGGTGGTAGACTAGTACCGGAAAGATTGGAGCCATATTCCTATTTGCTTATAATTCTGATGAAAAAACAAACTCCAACAAGGTTGATTTTTAATTGTTTGCGTTGTTGTTATTGATATCATCGGCCTCAACATCCGCGCCGTTAGTTCTGCTTTCTCCAGACTGGACAAGGAAGCAACACAAATGGGTCTGGCAGTGAACGAGGACAAGACGAAATATCTCCTGTCATCAAACAAACAGTCGTCGCACTCGCGACTTGGCGCTCACGTCACGGTTGACAGTCATAGCTTTGAAGTTGTAGATAATTTCGTCTATCTTGGAACCAGCGTAAACACCAGCAACAATGTCAGAATGGAA